ATAATCAACATTAATTTTTTTATTTTTTTTTAAGCTATGCCTGTAGTCAAGAGTTCAGTTAATGCTTTCCAGCCTTAATAAAAAGTTACTTAATAGCACAAGCACCAAAGCTGCCTAACAACATATCTCACCACAGAAAGTATTTTCATAAAATCTGAGAATCAATTTATTACCACTTTACTTGCGTGGTAAAGCAGTCCTTACTCCCTGCTCATTATTCCTTTCTTTGTGCCTGTACCTGCAGATGTTTTGTGCTTAGCTTGCCTGCATCTCTGCAGCAATCAGCATCATTGCTTTTCTAGAAAGGCAGAGGCTTAAGTCCCAGGGCACAGAAATTTTGTTCTGTTATACTTGAATTAGAAAACAGGCAGGTATTTCTATTTGTGGTTAATTCATCTCAGATGAAATGCTGACTCTCAAACATTTCAGACCTGCTCAAGGCTTCTTGCATTTTGAAGATGTTCAAGAACTGCCTTTTTTTTTTTTTTTTAATTGACTACTAGTATTTTGAAGACCAACCTAGGTTGCTCTGTTGAAGAAAACCAGCAGAGCTATTGCCCATCACAAGGGCTCTCTGCTAAGCAGTCAAGACATTTGCCAGACAACTGGGATCCTAACAGGTACCCTGTGCTTCTGAAAGGATCACAATTCAAGTAAACAGTGCGAGTTAAAATCTGGGAAGAGTCTTTGGAAGAGTACGAGGTATTATCTCCATTAGCTACCTCAAGTACTAGCACAAGACTGACTAGCCTGCACATTAAACGATTAGTATGGAAAAAAGTTGAGTTTTAGCACATATGTATATCTTTTGAAATACAGTGCAGTCTAGGAGGCAACCTTCCAGTCCCTTTTCCTTTCTTTTCTGCTTGGACTTGTAAAGAAACATGTTGTATGTGTATTATTTTTCATCTCTTTGCCTTAGAAAAGGGCCATAATGTACAGCCAATAATGTGACTCAGCCGTCTCAGTTTCAGAGAACTTTACCGTAAGTCTTGGCCAATTCAGTAAACCCCTTGTATCCAACAAACACGCTTCATGGTTCACAATCCTCAAAAAGCTCAATTTGTCAGCATTTATTTTACTCGTAATTTCCAATTAAATTAAAACTGCCAAATGCATCCTATGTAAAACCCACAAGGATAAAGTTAATATAAGGAAACTTATCAAAAAGCAGACTAAAAGATTTCTTTGACATGTACCTAACCTACTACTGGTGAAAAAGCAACAGGGCACAAAAGAAAAACACAAACACCAAAAGTTCTTCACTTGACTCAACTGCTTTTAAACTACACTTCAGCAGTACTAATTTACTTCTACTGCTAAATTAACAACATGCCAAAGAGGTGAAGGCTACACTAAACCATCATCATTCTCCCTCCTATTTTGCAAAGGTAAGTTGGTTTCTTTGAACTTTGTTTCCACACTTCTAGAGTTCAGGTACTCAGACATAACCTCTCTAGAACAGACCATAAACATTCCCAGCGAGTGTACTTGCTCAGTCATGCCTGCCAAGTGCTTTTATTCCCCACTTTATTAGCTTTGAGAAAAGTACACTGTTACTAGAGAACAAGTGATTATTTCCACTGTCTCTCACACTTCTTCTTTGAAGTGCACATGGTTTCTACACTGCCTTTCACAAAGGGAGATCCAAAATTAACTAGGAAAATACCTCCTATGCAAGCTATATAAAATAAAAACGCTTGGTTGAAAACCACTGCTTAGAGATAACAGATTCAACCTCACATAGGCAGTACTCAATCTGCAACATTTCCATTTGCCCACAGGTTTGCTTATATATCTGAAGTCCAATCTTTTAAACAGTTTAGCTATCCTTAACCTGCTCAACCCCACTCTTTTTTTTTTTTTTTAAACTGTAGCAACACAACATGGAAAACAAACAGTTAACACTTCAGAATATTACTTCTGGTTCATATAATATTCCATTTACCATTCAAAAGTATGTTTACAGAATAATTCAAATTGGAAGGGACCTCTGGAGGCTATCCGAGCTCATCCAGAACTCAGAACAACTCACATATGATTGGCATCTGAACAAACACCAAGAGAAACAAATCTGTTCTCTCTGCACCGCTCCCACTTGGATGAAGGCACGGGGAAGAGAGATTTGTAACAATTATTCGCCAGGACACATTCAACTCAAAGTAAAAGAAAATTCCACCCAGTTCTACCACAAATAATTTTGTTGCCTCTTGTCCCCTTAGTTACAATTTCAGGCAAGTATCATCACTTGGAGGAACCAGAGGTCTTTCTTTTTTCCAAAGGAAGAGACCGAACTCCTAAAAGCACAGAACGTGATGACCAAAAAGGTATAAAAACAACTCCTACCTTAACTGACACCTCAAGCCATCAGCCTGTTCCTTCAGTTTGTGGAAGTACAAACACTTCCTCTCTCTAACGCTCCTCCTCCACCTCATTTACATGCACAGAACACATGTGGCCCATTTTTCCTCATCTGGGAGATTTAATAAGTCTCACGTGTTTACCAATAGTTACAAAATTATAAAACTGACTTTTGCTTTATTACTTACAATGTTTTAAAATCCTCTTTGCATTATTTCAATTCATATTCCTTCTCTGGTTATATTCCACAAGAGAAAAAATATCATCAGTTTTGACTGTTTCCTCTTCAGTATCAAAGTTAAAAATAAATGGAAAGCTTTAGCTCCATTCATCCAGAGGTAACAGACCATGCATCTCTTTTTGAGTGTAATGTTATGGCTATTGATGTTGTTTAAAACTTTATGACACGTGAGCAAGCACAGTATGTATTTAAACACAGGGAACAACTGCGATCAGAAAGAAGCTCATTCTTCACATGATAACACTTTTCAGAGGTATTATTTTTTTTTTCCAATACCTGGAAAGCTCTTACAGACTACTTGGTTTTGTGAAGCAGCATGATGGTTAAAGTACAAAACTTTTGCTTTTCATCAATCCTATTCCAAATCCTCCAGCAACTTCTTACAACAGCTGTCCAGAAACAACTATTCCCCACTTACTTCCAGAGAGCAATTAACTTTGACTGGCACAGAAATAGTTAACTAGGTCCTGGACTGCTTTATGACTTCCAATAAAGCACAACTGCTTTGTAAACAGCTCAGCTACACCACCTTTTCCAAAGAATACTCCAGAAAAGAAAACAAAGTGAAACCAAAACACTCAGTTTCATTATCAGTAGAAGCAAGCTGTAACAAAAAGCAATACATTTCTGCCATTCAAACTGAATGAGCATTGGAGGCAGCAGAATAGCTAAAACATCTGGGTGTGGGTCTGTAGGCTGGGCTTAGTGCTCTGAAAAACAAGTAACATTGTCTCCAAGTTGATAAGAATGGCATCAAGTTCACACCCCTGAAATTCAGGGCACCTGCCCCAGCAGAACTCCAGCTAAGCCTCTGAAGCTGCTATGTTTATTGTCTTAATGACAAAGACAACACTTCCCAGATCACAGGCAGCACTGTGTGGTTTCACCAATTCCCCTGCAAACACTATGAGCTTTGTTGATCTGGGGTTTCACAGTGACGCTGTTAAAATATGCTTCCAAATTGCTGCTCTGCAAGAGCTTGCTGTTGGAGAACAACGTTACTTATTGTGAAATTTTCTCCTCACAAAGAACATTATTTCAGAACAAATTATCCAGTGAGTTCCCTGCAGTGTATAAACCATTAAAGCCGTCATCCTGAGGACTGGAATATTCCTGGTCACACATGTTGTTTACACACAGTGAGAGCTGGACTTTGATTATTGCACTGCATTATAGAATTGGGGCATAGAAGGAACTGAAGCAAAAGTTATGAGAACATCCCCGTAAGTTAATTGTGAGGAGGATAAATTAAAGAACTCAGGTAATGCTGGCAAAAGCAAAGAACTTCCCCAGCACAATGAATTTGGAAACTTGTTAGCACTCAAAGCTAGGAATGTATGTGTACATATAGGTGACAGGCCAGGACTCGGCATTCTCCATTAAAGCAGTGAGAAATTCAGCTCCCAAAGCCAGTCCAGCACCCCCGGCTCCCTGCAGAAAGGCCTCACGCCCCGCAGCCGCACAACCCGCTTGTAAACACAGCTCACGTGTGTGCGCTGCGAGCACGCGGTGCTGCGGGGCTACGGCTGTGCAGCAGATCCTTAAAGCCTTCAAGAATAGATAAAACTGACTGAGGAAAAGAACTCTGAGCAACACCAGCAGCGGCTCCGATACCTCAGTAACGCGAGGCACGCCCACAACAGCACCAGAGCCCCGCGGGGAAAACGAGCACGCCGTTTGCGTTAGGCCAGTCGAAGCCTATAAATACCCGAGCTCCAACAAGAAGTCGCCTTCTCGCGTTCATCACCGGCGACGAGCGGACCCCGGGTCTGCGCGCAGAGGCGAAGCTCCCGCCCAGGAACGCGACACAAAGCGCTCGGCTCCTCCGCTTCCCAAGCCGCGGCCGCACGCCGCAGCACCCGCCCCGCCATCCGCAGCGCAGCGCCCCGCCTGGGGGTCGCACTTCCCCCCCCGCGGGCCCCGCCGCCGCCTCGCTCACCTCGCGGGCGCGGTCTCCCCCGCCGCTCCTCGCGGCCCCCGGGCGCCGCCCCGCGGGACCCTGGAGCGGGCGGACCGCCTCCCCCCGGGCGCTGGCGGAAGCGGCGCCGCAGTCCGCGCGGCACCCCCGGGCGAGCCGCCTCCCGCAGCGGGAATAACAGGAAGGCGGCGGGGCCTGACCCCGGACGGGGAAGGCGCCGCCCGCCGGAAGTGGAACCGCGGGGGCGTGGGGGAGAGAAAGGCGGGGGAGGCGGGCGGCGCGCCTGCGCCGCCGAGGGAGAGCGGAGCGGGAGGGTCGCGGCGTGACGTCATCGCGAGACGTCACGACGAACGGCGCGGCCTCGGCGCGTTCTGCGGCGCGCTGCCGGCGCCGTGCTGCCACCTAGCGCGGGGCCTCCGCCGTGGCATGGGATGCGGAGCTCCGCGCCGCGCACGCGTGGTGCCCGCCCCGTCCCGCCTCACTTCCTGCAGCTGGGCCCCGCCGTGCCCGGCGCCGGCTTTCCGAGGCCCGGCTTGCGCGAGGAGGCGGTTCCGGCCCGGTAGGTGCGTGCGAGGGGACGGCGCGGGCCCGAGGCGGTTCCACATGGCGCGCGGTGCCGCGGGGCTTCCCGCGCGTGGGAGGGCCGTGCGGTTCGGGTGTCCGTAGGCGCCTTTGGTCTGAACCAGCTTTATGTGCGTCCTTGCCCGGATTGAGTAGTAGAATCTTAGCGTAGAGGGGCCCGGCCCTCGGTGCGAATGGCTGCGATGTCTGCTGTGTGCGCTGTGCGTGACACGCTGCGTTTCGGTGAGGCTCTGTGGAGCTGCGGCCGAAGGGGCTCTCTGAGGAGGATGGCAGCGTGCTGGGAAACCGACCGGCTTGGGAGGATACCTCTGCAGTTCTGGGAAGACAACCCACGGCTTTTTCATCGCTTATATAAACCCGTATTGCTGTTCTAAATTGCCCCCGTGCATATAGAAACTGATTCCTCTCAGAGCGCTGCTTGTCATGTAGGCTGTGAGCTCTGCCCGCGGCTGAGGAAGGTCGTGGGCTGGCCGTACACACTGCTGGCTGCGATGCCCACAGTTAAGGCCGAGGCCTAGCTCGCTCACAAAAGAGGTTCTTTACTCATTTGCTATTCTGTGAGCATAACAAATTTTACAGCTTATTGTGTGAGTGGAAAGGAGGAGTCCAGGTGTCCTGTGAACTTCTGGATGGGTATCTGTAGTAACCAGCAGTGTGATGTTAGAGGAACACGTAAATAAGATGAAACAGAATGGTTTTCTTTCTTTTAAATAGTGTCTGAAAGGAGAAAAATGATGTAATTAGAGCAGTTTTAGTGACAGCCCACCTTTAGAAGAACACTAGAGTTGTGTGTGCAAAGCCATGGAGTTCTAATTTTAAAATTGCCCATGCAGCCTTAACTCTATCTTCAGAGTGCTGTTTACTTTGAGGAACAGCGAATGACCTCATAAATAATGATTTCTCTAGGAGTATTGCTTTATGCCTTTTCCCCAGTGGATGCAGATCCTTTAAGCAGTGTCTTGCCTTGTGCTTGATATCCCAGCCTTACCCATTGAGTATGGAAGATGTGGCACAGCAAGCACTCATGCAAAATTAAGCAGATGGATCCTGATTGCCGTTTACTGTAGGTTGCTTTATATCGCTCTCTGAAGTATTTATCTATAATTGACTCTGTTTTTAAAGTAAGAGGCCCATTATGATGTTGAAGTAAAACTGAAGTTTAATGGCATGTTTAGCTACTTGCATAGCTGATGTCAAGTGTCTTGAGAGGTCTGTGGTGTGATGTGTGTAACTATTGTGAATACAAGCTGGTTCCATCATCAGCACCACTGAAATTGGTTACACTGTCTACAAGGCACTAGTTGCAGAAAGTGAAGCTAGCAGAAACTTTTTCCATAGTTCCGTTAATCTAGCAGAACCTGTGCCAGAAGTTGGAGAGAAGCTGGGTGGCAGTACAGAAGTTGGCCTGCTGATGGGTGGTTTACACCATGCTCATTCTTCGTTTATTCTTTGTACAGCATATTGTTTTGTTATGTTTCACTTAGTTTTCATGAAGCTGTTTTTGACTTTGTTTTTGTGGTCACGTTTTGATTCATGTTAGGTTCATGCCCTCCTGGAATTTCAGAAAGTCTTGACAGTGGAGAGCAATTTAAAACAAAAACCTGCTCTGTTACTGATTCAAAAGCTTGTTCCCAAGGCAATGCATGCTCTTCTTTCTTGCTGTTTTTTTGTTTCTAATTCTAGTTTTAGCAGTAGTTGAACTTTCTCCAATCTTACATTGTTTAGATGTAACAATTCCAGAAGTGCTTATGTCACCTGAGAGTTTTAATCCCATGTTTTCTTTTTTCCTAATGGAACATAAACCTTTATGGGGTCAGACTTTCAAAGGTAATAGAGGATCTAAAAATGCAATCATCAGCTGGGATTTTCCAGAGCTTGAATGCAACACAGTATTTATCTCCTGCTAATTTTAGCAGATTGAAAATCCCAGAAGTTATCCCAGATAAATGCTGTCTCCTCCAGGTTCCTAAATGCCTTTGAAGTCAAAATCTATTTTCAAATGCGATTCAGAACCAAAGTTCCTATGTGGCATTTAATTTACCTTTCCCTCAATCTTCCAGAAGTCTCCCATTTTAAGATGCAGACGTGGCTTGCTATTTGCTTAAACAGGGGAAGCCCACAGCACAGACATGGTTGCTACCAATGCAGCCTTAGCTAGAAGTCATCAGCAGACACCACAGATAATGCAGCTGTCTACCACAATGTAACAGTGAATGGGATTTGTTATGATAAGAAGCTAAGAAGACATTAACAAAAGTAGCTGTGCCTCGATTCATAATATCACTGCTCAGCATTATTCTGGGATTGTTCATCCCGGGCTTTAGATGTGATTTATAAACTTTAATTAAATAAGCCTCTCAGAACCCCTTGTTGGAAATGTAACGTTAGTTCTAAGAACTCAAATTAACTGAGAAATAATAGAATAAAGGTTAATATGGGATAAGCACTCCATTTTTGTAGAAGAAGATACGGCTGCTGCATAGGTTGTGCGTAGAGAAGGAAACGCAGAGAAGTAGCTCAAGGTCATTCCACAAGACTGGGAGATCTGGGAAAGGGGCGCTTGAGAAATGATTGTGTACAAGATCTGCTCACATTGTTTCCCACTCCTCTGCTTGTTGATGACTCAGATGAGAAAAGTTAACCTTGGGATATTTTTTCTTGAAGATTTTTGTGATTATTTGGGTGATGTAGATGTGTGTAGATGTATTTTATAGTAATGTAAAATAAACACGCTTTGAAATATTTCTGTTCTTTCTAAGTTCTCCTCTAGTATCGTGTAGTAGTTATGAATTGTAGTATTTGTTTATGTTTTAGATAGTGAGCTTCTGCTTAGGCTGTCAGAAGAGGATGTGGCTAACGGTCGTGTCCCTCATTCCTGTTAACACAGCTTTAGGTGCTGTGTGTTGGAGGTCACATCTAGCAGTCATGGAGCGTTGGGGTGTGTATGGCAGGATCTGCTTCTGGGTCGGGTACTGTGAGGGATCTGCATGTGTCTGCAAAGGTGCCCTGGGGTGCTAATGGCTGTGTTTCAGATCACTGTCTGTTCCTTATACCCATGTATTTTTAATATCTTGCCATGGTTAAGTTGTCCTGCTGTTCTTACAAGCTGATTTTATACCTGCTTGGAATTGTAAAAAGGCATAAAGCAGAGGCAATACAGTTGCAGAAGTTGTCCCCTCAGTTGTTAGCGTGACTTATTTGAGCATTTGTGTCTTTTTGGTCTAGATTGGAAGAGGACTCCTCATCCTTCAGAAATAGTATGCCCACAGTTGTCTTGGCCAATGATTCTTCTACAGCAAGCAGGACTTCTTCCTCATCCTGAGAAACCTTCATCTCTTCCTATGTCAGTGGCTACAAGGCCCAGAGCCACCTCGCCACTCTCCCCACCAAAATCACTTGGACTGGGGCCTTCCTTTTATCACGCACAAGACGAAGAGCTTGCAAAAGTGGTGGAGCAGGACCCTATGCTGGAGGAACTATGTAAGCCTCTGTGCTGTAAGCTCTGCAATGTCACTCTGAATTCAGCTCAGCAAGCCCAGGCTCATTACCAGGTAAGCAGAGTAGTAGTGGGCATGGATTCCAGGACTGTTGCATCTCCATTAGGAGGAGTGCTGTGTTGAAGTGGCTACGCAGTAGCAGCATCATTTGAGTTAACCCATCTGAAGCTACCTTTGCTACATCTGGGGGACTGGAAGCTGTGTCTAGAACTACTGTATGCACGTAGCTTCACCTTGGTTGAATTTGCTGGTCATTCAGATAAGCTGCAGAGCTTTCTTTTAAGGTATGATGACAGGATCAAATCACAAAATATTTTTCTGTGCGGACAGAGAAATCCTACTAAGATGGCATGAGTGGAAAGGAAAATACCTACTTTTTCTTTGTTTTCCACCTCTACATCTTCCCACTGAAACTGAACCTCTCATTCCACAAACATGATGTTTGTAAGGCCTGGACAGATGTTTTCTGTGGAACTAGCTGTGCCCTTAGGAGAGTAGTCTGCTACCATGTGCTTATCACTGCCTCCTTCCTGAGGCTATGCACACCACTGCTTTGCTGGAGGCCGTATTTATGCAAAATCTCATGTGCTTTGAACAGTGTATGGGAATGTTGAGTCATGGCCTGAACCACTGATTGAGCACCTGGGTAAAAGACCTGGTCAGCCCTGGGAGCACAGGTGAAGGCAACTCATCTGTGTGATTGGAAGGGGTGGAGCCTGGCTGCACCTCTTAGACCTCATTTAAGGGCTGACTGCTGCTGGGGAAGGATGTCTTTTTGGAGATCCCTCCTTGGTGATGCTTTTTCCTGGGATCTAGAATCTTCTGATGGGGTGAGTGATTTTGTTCCTTTTCTTTATAGTGCCTTTTTATTGTGCTGGTCCTTCTGTTATCACATCTTTGTTGTAATACCTTTCCCATTGTATTGGTCTGTCCAATTGCTACAGGAAATATCAGCTGGATCAGCTCAAACCAAGTTCTGTTTGCTCAGTCTGTCTAGTTGGTTTCTTTGGAATTGGTTAGGAACAATTTGTGTATTTCTTTGCTGGCGTTAAATCTTAGTCTTATGTTGTCCCCTATGCCAGTAGCTTGCCTTCCTAGTGCTGAATTTGTGAGAGATATGGATATGGTAACTTTCTTCACCACCCAGTGCAAGAGGGTGGTTCTCTGTGTCTTCAGGATACCAGGCTCCAACCTCACGTTTGCTGTTGATTCTTAAAAAAAAAAAAAAAAAAAAAAAAAAAAAAAAAAAAAAAGTTTTCCTGACTGTAAGGGAATAAGTTATAGCTTAGCATAGGATTTCTGTAGTGTTTCTGTCACGGTAAGACGGAAGTGCATTTGTAGTTAAAAATGTATGACTCTTATTTGTTTCACGTATGTTCTTTAATATATATCCACTGTACATACACTTGCTCTCATATGCTTCTCTCAGTTTGCAAGGCACCAGTAAAAACTTCAGTATATATTTTCCAAGAGAAAATAAAATACAAAGCTGAGCTTTTTAGAAGTTTGTTTTTTTGCATTATCTTATACCCACAGCCTCTTGAAAATGGATGTGTGTACTCAGGCTTATCAAAAGGCAGTTAATGTCTTATGTCTAAAACACAAAATGCTGGTTTTAAGTGAAATAGATTAAAGAACTAATTGTAACCTTACTTGTTTCAGGAAACTGTTGGAAGATTAGGCTTAACGTGAGCATTTTGGAGCGAAGGGGGGCTGTCTGCATCTCTCAATGTATTCTATATTTTTTGAGTGATGGTTCCTTTACCTGAGGTGCTGGCTTCCTGGCTGTTTCTTTCTTTTTATCTCTGTCTTGTTTTGCATTCGCTGTGAGATGCTGTTATTGGGACAGTGATTAAATTGAGTTCTCTCTGCAGGGTAAAAACCACAGTAAGAAACTCCGGAATTACTATGCTGCCAATAGCTGCCCGGCACCCGCCAGGATGAGTAACTCGGTTGAGCCTGTGCCACCTCAGGTTGTTTCCCTTCCAGCTCAGGTAAGGCATGGGGAGGTGACAGAGATTGTGATGTTTGCTTGCAACCTAACCCTCGTTAAGAATAACTAGGTCTCATGCTTTGAGGGTTACTGCAAGAGTTTGGAAAGAATTTTCCTTGTGATGACGCAGGAAGGTGGATGTAGACAGTTGTGAGCTGTTCGCTTTCTTTTGAAGGAGCAGATACCAATCTGCTGTTGCAGCAGAATTTTGAACTTGAAATAGTCTATTTCTGCGTGGCAAATACTTTGTTTCCTACGTAAGTCTGATGTGCTGCTGATTAAGACTGTTTAAAGAAAACTTAAAAGAAAATAGCTATAGCTGGATTTAAGCACGAGGGTGTGGATCTGCTCTGCAAAATCATGCCTCCGTTGTGTGAGTGGAGCTTATGTGGAAAAAAAATGCTTAGATGCACCTGCACCCATTGTCCAGTGTTATTATGTAATTCTCCTTGTTCATTCTGCAGTGGTTATTCCTGGGTACAGGGTGAGTGGAGGGATGGGTCACTGATTCAAACCCGTTTGCTCTCAGGCATGTTAAAGGCAAAGGAGATAATGTTTACTTTGTTCTTCTAGTCTTTTGATTGTCATGGGGCTTAGCAGCTAAACTGTCTCTTGTGTGTGAAAGTGCAGAGAGTTATAGCTGAGCAGCAAGGATAGAAGTTATCCTGTCACCTCCAAAAGTTTTAAGCCTCTGTCAGTACAAAAGCAGAAAGCATTTGCTCTAAGCAGGTTTTTACATGTGCTGTCAGAGCCACCAGAGGGAGACTTAGCCCTGTGTAAAATGGCTTTGTGGCTCACAGAGCTGAATCAGAGTCTTAAGAGGGCACTGAGTCCTGTCCTTGGTAATGGCACATGGGTGCTGTACTTGCTGGGGTGTCTGGTGCTGTTTTTGATGGAGGGAATGGTCCAGGGCAATAAAAAGGCCATTCTGGTGCCATGTGAGGATTTATGTTATAACTCATGGGTTAGAATTGTATATAAGCCTGTAAGCTTGCAAGAGATGTAAAAGAAGCTGGACTTTACAAGTGCTGCAGTGACATGGCTGTATCAATCTCTTGCTGCTGCAGTTTACAGAGCACTCTTCTCTGGATGATGCACAAACACTGAGGAAACCTTGTTGCTGCCCCAGTCAGCGTGCCTGTCTGATGAGACAGGCAAGGTATTGTTTCCAATGGCAGGAGCTCCTCATGTGAGGCTGGATCTTCCCTCTGAGGCTTTGGTTCAGGTGTCCCTGCAACTGAAGGGCAAGGCTAAGAAATTTGGTAGCTCTGTTATTGCTTTTATCTCTCAGTATCATCAGGATACTGTGGAGAGATTGGCTGCACTGGAAACACAAGTGGGGAGTGCTGTTACATTTCAATGAGTCTTCCTCAGTATGAAAGTCATGATTTGTTGGCTCCCAGGAGTCAGGAATAGAGGTGTTAAATCACTGCTGTTAAGTAAACAAGCCTCTGTGGCTGTTGACAAAATACAGGGAGTTTATTCAGATTGTTCTCCATCTGAAGCATGGAATTTATATAGATCTCATGTGATGCGAATGTGGAATGTGAAGATGTTGTGGAAAGCTGAGGCAAAGAAAACTAAGTTGTCCTTGTAGAAGCAGTTGGGTAGGGGGCTGGAATGTCCTAAGCCAGTGTTTTAATTCTAGTGCTCTTGCTTGCTCGCAAAGGCCATAGTGGTCTCAGACACTGTGTTTCAAGTATTGCAACAGTTTAACTTTGTTTCACATTGTGTTTTTTCCCTTTGCTGCTAGATGGGATCCAGTAAACCAGGTGGCCGAGTGATCTTAGCCACAGAGAATGATTACTGCAAGCTTTGTGATGCCTCATTTAGTTCTCCAGCTGTGGCACAGGCTCACTACCAGGGGAAAAATCATGCCAAACGGCTGCGTCTTGCAGAAGCACAGAATAACTCATTCTCGTAGGTATTGTTCAACTTCATGCTCAGGCTGAAAGCATGTGGCAGTATCTCTGGAAGTCTTTTTTGTTAGAAAACTCGGACTTGCAACTGTTTGTATTTGTTTAATCTTCAGGGATACATCAGAACTAGGCAAACGGAGGACAAGGAAAGAAGGGAATGAATATAAAATGATGCAGAACAGAAGAAATATGTACACAGTTCAAAACAACACAGGTAATCATGAGTTTGCACCTGCTCTATTGTATATTTAGAATAATAATGAATGTTCAGTAGACTTGTTTTTCTTCTATTTCTGAGCTCTGTTCTAGCAGGGACAGGTTGTTAAAGGAGCTGGTTCCAGCTCTGTTGATTCTTCTTGTCTGTGTATATTTTCCCAGCTGCTGTAGTTACTTTGTTTTGTCAGCCTGCTTGTTATTCTGCTTTCTTGGTTTGTAACTTAATTTACCATCTGCCCTACCCGTCTGTAGGGCTGCTCTAAGTGATGACAATTTTCCTGCTTTATTTTCTTGGCAAGTGACCAGATGCTTTGACTCCTACTGTAGCACAGCAACCTCTATGTGCTCTCCTCTGTCCAGAATGAGAAAGATAAGAAAGTGTGTTAGCCTCCCTGTAAGACCATCTGTTCCTAGAACCCCTTCTCAGGTGTTAGTTGTTAACTTTTCCTCTTTATTGTTGAAGTGTTTTAGAGTGTCCAGCCCAGCATCTGTTTCTCTTTTTCATTTTAAGTTGTGTTATGTGCACGTATTGGCAGAAACCCTGCTTCCTGGTGAAGCTTGGTTTAATATCATCATTTCAGTTGTTATCCTTTGGAAGACGTTTGTTTTAACATTCTATCAAATGTCGTTCTGGGATGATTTTGAATTGGGTTAGACAGCTTATTCTAATCAAAAGACTGCTCTAATTCTTGAGTTGGGTGATTTAAAAAAAAAAATTGATTAATCACTTAAATGATCAATTAAAGATGCTAATCTGTGGCTTCCTTTCATGCATTTGTTGGACTTGAAGTTGTCAGTGAGGTGCCTCAAGCTTTTTTAAATAGATAAATAGACTTTTCTGTTGTTTCCTCAGGTCCCTACTTCAATCCCCGCTCTCGTCAGAGGATTCCTCGGGATCTGGCAATGTGTGTCACCCCCAGTGGCCAGTTCTACTGCTCCATGTGCAACGCTGGGGCCAGTGAGGAGATGGAGTTCAGGCAGCACTTAGAAAGCAAACAGCATAAAAGCAAGGTGTCTGAACAGCGGTACAGAAATGAGATGGAGAACTTAGGCTACGTACAATGACGCGCCACCCTTGGTAGTAGTCTGCAAATAGAGCAGCTTGTCTCTCGCCTGCTGTTTGCCACATGCCCTGCTTTGTGCTCCATTTGATAGGAGTATGCTCTTGAGCTATACATGTAACACCTGCAAACTCAGTGGTATGGTTAAATTTTTTTTCTATCATAGTTGGCAGGATGACACTGTGCAGGACATGAAGTGTTTTTGATGTTTGTTTGCTAGTTATCTAAGGCTCCTCATTGTGTTGAGTGACTGAGGGGACTTTGTTTTCTCCTCGGCCTTTTGCATGAATATGCAAAGCCCAAGAAGTGCTGGAAACTTCTGTGGTTCTACTGCATGGGTGAGACCACATGCAAAGCCTGTTCCCCTCTTTGCACGCCACAGAGTAGTGCTCCAGAATGTATTTCTCCAGCAGAGTCAATCTCTGAACAGCTTGTAAAAGAGGAGCAGGAATGGGACCTGTAAATGTGTGAGTTAGGGGTGTACTTGTCCACAAATTGCTAATTGTGGCTCTTCTTACAGCCTACAGTAAATTCTTTTCATGTGCCTGTAGAAAGGCTGTGCACACCTCTCTACCTTGGAGGGTCTTGCCTCTTACTCCTTTCTCTGTGATGCAGATTTCTCTCTGAACATCCGACGTTAGGTATCAGCTGATTAGCCACATCCAGAAATATTTTTCTACCAAACAGTTAACAATGAAAAAGGGTTCTTGGTACTGTTGACTGAGTACTTGAATGCACTGCGGGTAGCTCAACTCTCTGTGGCTTAATGAAGTGAATTGGAAAGCAAACCTGCTTGGGTGGGATGTGCTGTGCTCTGATTCCATGTTAGATAGGGTAGGGTTAAGGATAGGTTGGAAGGAGCTGTCAGCTGTAATTTCTTTGCATACTAATGTAGAAGAGAGCGTTGGTGCCTGCCTAGCCTGCAGCTTTGTTGCTCTGGGAGAGCAGGGCTTCCTTGGCCTTGGGAAGTAGATGTCAGTGTATCCCACCTCCACATAATTCCCTGGAAAAAGCCAAAGGGATGTTAAAGATAAGAGGTGAAATGCTACCCAGATTAGATGAACTTTCTTCCCCCTCTTCCTTTTCTCATCTCAAACTGGGTTTTAATTCCATTTCTTGATGTGAATTTCACCATTAGGGACCATAGAAATCTAAGGTTAGTTAGGGCGTGAATGTCAACAGTGATTGAGCAACAACTTTATGGTGATGCAGAAGTATTCACAAAACTTTTCAAGCATCTTTTTAAATGTCAATGAAGAGTATGTGTCTGTTTTAATTTTCCTTAGCAAAAGTGGAAAGGGGATAAAGAGCAGAAGTAGGGCTGGCACTCTTCTACCCATTTAGGTAGATGTGAGGAGCTGTGATTGGAACTTGGCTCATGATGTTTCTGTCACTTTAGCTTTAGTGGCAAGTGCAGCATGTGGCTAAACCCTGTTGGACCTTATTCACTACAGCACTGCTACAGCTGTAGGTTGGTGGCTGATGCAGAGACGGGGTAAAGGAGGGACCAGCCTTCTCTCTTACTCCTCCACGGGTAGCTTGAATTAAGTGCAGCTCCATCAGTTTCAGTAGCCTTTTACCAGGGATAAACTTTATCTGATGCATGATGGTGAAGGTAACCAATCCTGCCTTTTTTTTGCTATTCTAATCCCTGCCTCTTGCATTCCAGAAGGATTATCTGCTTGCCTTAAAAAATGAAAAATGACTAAACAAAAAATCTAGGTAGTTTTTATTAGTCTTTTTAATCCACTTCGGAAAGGCTTGTCTCACTTGGCTGCTCAAAAATGAATGCTTTTCTCAGAAACTGAGTATTGTCTCTAGCTGAGCACCAGGTAGCCATGCAACCTTAGCACTGCTTTCCTATATCCTGGCAGGGTGAGCTCTTGCAAAGTAGCTGAAAGCAATCTACATCATTCCAGGCTGATCCTTACTGTGCAGATACAGGCAGGGCAGCAGACATCCTCTTGAGTGGGATTCCTTCTCCTCCTTTCTGCAAAGCCCTATTAAATACACTTTGTGCACAGGAGTGTATTAGGAGGTAAAACAGGAGCCCAGACTGAAGAGCACTAACTAGACAGTTTTGACAGGCTGTTTGTTTTTCCTGTGCTGTACAGCCCACGGTTCACCTTTGCAGCCCTGAAGAAGGTTCCCCTTAGAAAAATCTCCTGTCAACATTCTCCCCTCATTTTTTGCTGTTGAAGGGCTGGTTTCCTCTTAGTGCTATCTTTTGTTTTCCTAGTCTGACGCCACTGTGCAGGGCCAGAAGGAGCTGGATCAACTGTACCTTAAGTATTTCACCAGTATATTCATGCTTTGTACTTAAACATCCCTCTTGCTGTAAATTAAGCATGGTATTTCCCACAGGCTGCAATTAATAGCAGAAAACCAACACTTTTTAAAATAAGAGCTGTGGGTGCTGTAGGTACTTATAATGAGGACCAAGAAGGCTTTTTTGGTCTGCTTTCATATAGCTTAAAATCAACTGTTCACCTCTTTGCTTGGGTTACTGCTCCTGCTCCCAGCCCAACAGTCTGCTTCTCATTTGGCATTTCCAGTGACTGTTCATGTCCTGTGACTGCGTGGCTGCTGGAAGTGTCAAGACTCGTTTTGCTCCATGTGCCTGGTACCTCCTGGTACAAATGTGCTATGTCCCACTCTCTTTAGCACAGGAAACTGTTGATTACAAACACCTCACTGTCATCATTAGGGTTCAAGCCAATCCAAACTCATGCTTTCCAGTGTGAGAAGCAGGATGGATTGTGGTTTTATTTTTTTGGGAAAGCTGTTCTCCAGATCATTGTTCAGAACGCGTGTTGTGGGATGAGAAGGATACCATACAGCTGCAATACTATTTTCCAGACCCAGCAAATTATATTCTCTAGTTAATCAAAGTATCAAAATCGAGAAGTAGAACTTTTGTGAAACTGCCACATTGGCCAGTAGGTTAATGACCTTTGCTGCTAGAAATGGAATACAAAACAATGTCTTCATATTTATTTTACTGTGCTGACCACTAATTGACTTGTTAGTATTTAAGGCACTACGTAGGTTGTTTTTGTTTTAGTGAACTCTACATCGCATCGCACTTTGCTTTTGGATCAGAAATGATATTTAATATATTTGTGAAAATGTTTTGCCTCTCACGGATGTGTTGTTTTCTTTCCCTTGATGCAAAAAGCTCCACCCTCTCTCCCCATTCCCCCCCAGAAACCCCCCACACAAGAGAAAACAGCAGTGCAGCCAATGGATATTCTTTGTTTATTTTCACAACAAGCGAAACTAGGATTTCCTTTCAGCTCTTACTTAAATGTCCTTTTTAGGTGGTGGGTTTTTGTTTTTTTTTTTGGTCTGGTTGTTTTGGTTTTTCCTTCCAATGATTCCTTTGGTAACTTGGTGATATCTGTGGGGAATTTTTAAGCATTTCTTTTAAGGTAAGGAAGCAAACTGTGGAATCCATGTACTTGTGAGAAGTATGGAAGTGGTAATGTTTTGCTTGCATTTAAGCATTAGTTGTTATTTTGTGTTCTGCACTGATGGTTAAATGCACTGTAATCTTGCTGAACACTGGTCTCCTTTTGATGTTTTGCTTTTTTGGTATTTCTCAAAAGGAACCCTGAAAACTTCTGTGGAGTTGCTTAAGATGTTCATTAGCGCAACAAAATGCGTTTTTTCTATAAAGCTTATTGTCCTTTTTCCTTTCCTAGATGCTCATTACAGGGTATTAGAAGGGAAAGCTATTACCATAGCATGGATTTATATTTTGGCTTATTAATGCATGAGGTCCTTTTGCTTCATTATTTAAGTAATACTCTCACAGTAACAGATGGAAATCTTGGCCAAGTCTGGAGTAAATGAAGTACTCTAGCCAAATAACATTGTGTTGGCTAGGGCCAGGGGAATTCTATTGCTAAAACTTATGGTTTTTACTTCTACATTTGGGTTTCAACACTCTTCAGGTTATGAGGTGGTTTGTTTTTTGTTTTCTTTTTGAGGAATGTGTCTCTTACTCTGTAAAGATTTGCTCCTGCTCCAGCTAAAGTAGTTTGAAATCCATGGACTTTGGGTAGGAGCAGGCCTTGAAACCTTTCAGGAATTTCATGCTGCTGGTATTTTCTCATAGATACACTTCTTTAAAAATTTTTAAATTTTATGACCTTGTATACAAGGATGCTCTGGATGAGAAAGACACCTATTGCCAATTATGGAAAAACAAGCACCAGGATTTCTAAGGGATTAACAGTGAATGAAAAAGTATTGATTTGCTCAACTTGATTTCTTTGAAGCTAGTAGCTGAGCTTCTATTTTTGTGAGCTGAGCCTTTTTCTTTACCATCTGCACGAAGTTGGAAGCGAAAATAAAATACACTTTCAAATAAATGTGGTCAAATAGTAGTTCTGGGAATTTCTTCTTTTTTAAAAATATCCCAGTTAAAACATATATCTTTTTATCTGAAATATCTACAGGTAAAGGCAAGACAGAACTTTTTTTTCTTTTAATAAAATCAGTTTTTCAGTCTGTATTTTGCAGGAGAAGAATGATTTAATTTCCTTCTGCATCTGTCCAGCAAGATCATTTGCAAGTGCTTTGAATGTGTTTCATCTAGAGCCTTCTTGTCAGGTTGGTTTTGTACATTTGTCCTTCTTTCCTTTATGTTCTACTGACCCCCCTGAGGGAATAGTTGATGAAAATGATTTTTTTCTTCAATCTATAATAAATCATCTTCCTCTTACCATTTTACAGCCTTAGTGTCTGGTTTTGCTGCTGCTTGTGTTACGATGCCAGACAGTGCATAACTGAATTGATTTTAGCCTGGCATTGAGTGGGGCTGCGTGAGTATTATGTTTTAATACAGCGATAAAGGGGTAAAGCCATTGTAGGATTTGTTACTGTGGGTGATCAGAGCTCTTTGAACTGTTACTGAAAGCCAGCAGGTGGCTGAGTTCTCCCTCTGAGCTGTATTGGCTTCAGGAGGAGTTAAGATGGAACCCAAAGGTATGGGAAGAGGTTTTTTTTTTTTTCTTTTTTAATACAGTACTTGTTCCTAGAGTAGACATCACAAGTTCTGGAACAGCCCCAGGCTGAACCACAGACTTGCAATTCTAACTGCAAAAATGTTGGGATGAGCTGAGCCTGATACATATATTTGCATTTTTTTTGCCAGTGTGCTCTTTTGCCCTTTTGTGACTTGAGAGCTCTAGAAGAGCATATGCTTATGCAGCAGAAATGACTTTCCAAACAGAAAGTACATCCTGAACTGGAGCATTAACACCAAGAAAATCTGAGGTTTGCCAGGTTGAATTCAGGTGAGAGAAAAGCTTTGGTTATCCTTGGTGCTGAGAGCAGAACGAGCTGCTGATCTGAAGGGCAGTATCCTGGCACCTAAGGCACCTTGGGTTTTGTGACAACTCTTGTGGCACAGCTCTAATCTAGATGCAATTGTCTGAACACAGTCACAGCCTGAACCAGTGACTGAGCACCTGGTGGGAAGGCAGGGCAACCCAGGGGAGCTTGGGTGCATGCAGTGTACCTGAGTGACCAGAAGGTGTGGAGCCAGGATGCACCCTTTCCCAGACCTCATTTAAGGCTTGGCAGCGGAGGCAAGGCAGTCTTGCTGGAGATCCCTACATAACAGGCCTTCCAAAGGTAAGCAGTTTTTTTCCTTTGTTTCTGTGGCTGCTGCATTTGGGCATTTTATCATTTGTTGTAGCCTAGGATTGTGCCCCTCTGCTATTATTGCTGTGCTTTCCATCACACTGTAGCATTACAGCATGTATCCCTGCACTCCCATGCCCTTTGTGTTTCAGGGGATGGGGGCACTGCAGTGAGTAGTGACACCATGGTGGGATTATTTTGTGGGACTAGGAGCTGCCTAAGTACTTAGGTGCCTTCTCCTATTGTAAGAGTCAAATGCAGTGTTTTAACGTATTCTTGTTTATAATTAATAGGTCACTAAAAAAAAAAATTAGAGCTTTATTAAATTGGACCCCAGCCCCTCGCTGTCTTGTTGGGCTGTGTTCCTTACAGTTGTAGGAATGGAAACCTGTGTGGAGCAGCATCTTCCTGTTATGGGATGTTTGACTACTGTCTGACATTATAAGATGCTTTTTAATACTTACAACTGAAAATTGTATTCTGTGTTAATTCCATACCAATTTAGTGCAGTTAAACCTTTGTGATACATAGCGATATCTGAGCAACCTAATTTGGGTTCACAGGTATTTGTTAAATTATGCAGCAAATACAATAGTACAGAAGGAAAATCTTAAACTAACTGTGTAATTCAAAAGCATAAATAGCCCTCCTTCTGTTTCTCCAATTAGCCTGGTGTGTGAAGAGCTTTTTTAGTTTTGTGACATTTTACAGCTGAGGAAGTGAAGGAAAAAATACGTGATTCATTCAGAAAGGCTGTGACTAAAAAGAAAGATTGAACTTGAGGCCTTTAAATACCAGGGTTCTGACCCTGCCCCTTTTCCATGAATCCTCCCTGCTCCCTGCCTGACGAAAACTACAAAATTTTTAAAACAGTTTGCTTAATAGCTCTTAGCTTTTCATTTTTATCTATGATGACTTTACCTTGTATGAGGAAATGGTCTTTAGCAAATGACTTAAAAAATAAGTGATGAAGCTTGAAAGAGTTTTCCACAGAGATTTTTGTTGCAGAAGCAATACAAAGTGGTGAGAAAAGACCAACAGAAGAATTTTAGAAGAGCTGTAGATGCTCTATGCTTGTGAAGTACAGGTCTGGAATGCTCTTGTGTTCATTTATGTCCAGTTCATATAAATTCTCTCTATTCCAATTGCTAGTTCTCTCAAAGTGTTTGAATGGGATGCTGCCTGTCCTTTTAGGAGTTCTAATGAACTGCTGTAACAGATAATACCTACAATGCAGTTGGCCTAATCCCTCTCTGAATGACGCTTGTTCTCTTGGCCTTATTCTGCTGGGCTTGCTTCACTTCTCTACCTGCATAAAACAAGAGCAGATATGCTTAAAGTTGTTGGAATTACACAGATGTAGAGAAAATGGGAGATTATCTACTGTATATTAGCTGAGAGTAGAGTTTGCTTTTTGGTGGATGTTTGCATAACACATAAAGGAAAAGTATGAATTTAAGCACAGTGTCTCGCTATCAAGGGCCATCTTTTTTAACAAGGCGATACTATGAATGAAAGAGTAAGGAGTGTAGAATTGTAAGAAAAGGACATTGTTGCATATAGGGCTAAATATGCTGCATTCACTGTGTCTGTAGCATTTTATGCATGAATGCAGCATTTACCTGAGGAGGCCTGGCTATGTACTTTGCTAAATGCAATGAGATCATGTGTGAAAAACAGCACCTTAGCTTGTCTATTGCCCTGAGTATTAAAAGATTAAATGTAGGTATGAAAAACCTGTGAAAAATCAAATGACAAAACTCCCATGCACCAGAAGATGAAGACATATGGGCTATCATCTGCTATTCTGGGGAGGCTATAAAGGGTATTTCAGACTTAAGAGACTTGCAAAAACAATAACATAATGACAAAAATCTTCTGATTGCAGCCAGCTAGAGAGTTTGGGAACTAACTGCTGTCATTTGTGGCAGTGGCTCATTATTGCTCTATGTGAACTTGTGCAGATGGGATTAATCCAGCAAAGGCTGGAAGTTGTGTGAGGCAGGGCAGCATGAGCTCAGTAGCTATGGGACTCATCCTTCTCTGCTTTGACCTGCTGTGTATGTGCATGTGTGCACAAATGAAACAATTCTTGTAAGCACTCTTCCACCTTGGTATTATCCACTGTTCATGAGAGGAGAATGTAAATAAAAAAATAAGATGTTTCAAGGTTGTAGTGACCCCAGGATGAATGCAACAACACACAAAACCGAGGAGGTAGAAATTCATCAATTTGTCTTCTGCCAATCCCACTGTCAGAAGACACATGCTGGATAGTCAGCTCTTATATTTGCAGTTATACTCTTGAAATAATGTGGTAAGATCTGAGTAATACTGCTGACCATATGAATTAGCTTCCCTTGAGGCTGATCAACTACTGTTCAGGGCAAAAACCAACATTTAGGAGGCTTGAGTGTCATAATGCTTGACTGAATGCACTGAGCCTTCCTCTGTACTCTTTTCCCACTAGGCAAAATGCAGCAGGGCTGGGCAGAGTGTTAGCCCAATACCAGCAAGCATGGAAGACATAACAACTGTTAAAACGTAAGATGTAGCCACATACCTGAGGCTCTGAAGGTAGTATTGGAGGTTGTAGGTGAACAGAGTATGAAGAGGTATCAAAAGTTCTGGCTAGGTGCAGATGCTTGGAGTGTTAGCTCTGAACAGGTTTCTCAGTTTAGAGACAGTTATCAGCCTAGAGACCCTCTGTGCATAGCTTAGTATCTGGTACATGAGACAGATTTATGAAGGCACAAAGTTAATCTAGATTAGCATGGATCTCCATACAGCTTCTCACAGCTGCTGAGAAACTTAGGGATGGATCATACCACACCTAGAAGTATGTATGTGCTGGATGTTTATTAGAAGATAATAAGCTTCTGGGAAGATGTTTCTAATTTGGGTGCAGACTAAAAATGCTAATTATATGACAATGGTCTTGAAATAAGCATGCACACTTTCAATTTGCATTTCTGATTGCGTAACAAAGTTGGCATTGCTTTCTTCTCTCACTAACTTCGAAGGCATTGACTCGATGTAAGAAATGGTGTCCTAGAGCCATTCTGTGAAAGTGAGGCTGTATTTCTGTAACTGTCAGCTTGCCCACATAACAAACTGCATGGTAAATGTCTGAGCAGCCAAGCTCTCTGAAATGGTTTGTGAAAGCTTTGAAGTTACAGATGCTAGCTGATGTTTATTGTCACTGGTATATGACACCATATTCACACAGTGAATACAGTGCAGGTCTTCCAAATGGAACTAGATGTAATCACCAAAATATTAGGTCTGAAAGTTGTATATTGAGCCTGGATCATAGGCTGTAATACTTAGAAAAGAATATAACATATGTCTCAGAGGTAAGTAATCAGAAGGAAAAAAACACAAATAGGAACATAAACAACTTCATAGGTTTTTTTTGTATCTGCAGTGTTCCTTCCAGCCATCAGACACAGATGGAAGTTTCACAGGACCTGCTGAGATTGCAGGTATTGTAAATTACTGTAGGATTTTGGTGAAACTGACTCTAAGTCTTGTGAAAACAAGGCTTAGAAACCAAACTGAGTTAGTCTTGGCAAAATCCAGCTCTACAAGGAGAGTTGCTAGCATCCAATTGTGCAAATGCATTTGGGGGCAGCTGTAGACTAGAGATATCAGAATAATTCCCTGGGATTGCTGGAGCTGCCTACATGAAAATTAAAGACTGCATTGCCCTGTACCCATGAGGATGTGACACTGTTTACCAGTCTCAAGGTAGATGTTCCGTATAGAAGCCCATCATCTTAATGCTGCAGTACCTCAGTCAAATTAAAAATATCTGAGTGTTTTCATGGATACTGGTCAGGGTCACCCTGTGCTCACTGGACCTTCTGAAGATGAGTTTGGTTTATTCCAGAAGGAAATGAAGCTGTGTCACATCACGCAGGAGCATCACTTACATTTGGTATTTGTGATAAAACAGTGTTCTACAATTAGAGCATCAGATGGCTGGCAGCAGTTTTGCCAGATGAATACTGCACATCTTTCCCAGAAGGATTCAGTCTTTAGTATTGTTTTGATGCTGGAGGCTTTTTCAATTTCTGTTT